TCGTGAACTTTACGATGACGCAGAAAGCCATAATTATGACGTTCTAGGTCCCGAGGAACCGACGCACATCCCTACTGACCCTAGGAAGCGTCCGGATGTATTAGACATCGTGCTCACTAGGAACGTCAACTATCCAGTAGTGATAGAAGTGCTGTACGACCTGAATACACAGCACCTCCCGATTCTGATAACCCTTCGCACTAAGGCAGTGACTTCGTCGCCCAGAGCAGTCAAGACCAAGATCGACTGGAGGCTCTACTACCAACACCTGCAGCAGAGACCTCCAGCCTATACACCGACCAACTCAGCGGACGACGTAGAGGCCGCTGCAACTAGAATAACCTCGAGCATCCAGGAGGCCCTCAACGCGGCCTCTACGATCGTCCCTCTCTCGGAGAGAAAAGAGGAGCTGCCACTAAAACTACGCGTGCAGCTAAACCACAAAAGAGCGCTGAGAAAGCTCTGGGCGCGCACTCGCTGCCCTAGAGTAAAAAGAAAATTAAACACCTTGTCAGACGAACTGTCGGTTGCAATACAGGCCCACAGAGGAGAGGCCTGGGAGCGGCGCATATGGAAGGCGGATGAACAACATGCGTCGCTCTACAAATTGAACCGGCAGTTAATGAAAACTCGACCACCTGTTTGCCCGCTGACCAACAACGCGGGCATTCAACGTTACGATGCCAAGGGCAGAGCGGATATCCTAGCTGAGCACTTCGAGGAGCAGTTTATGCCGAACCCTGCAAGTGCGGAGTTCCTGGAAATCCATACCCGGAAAGAGAGCCGCGTGCAGGAGCTCCTGTCGTCGCCCGCGCCACCGCTTGCAGGAGAGTGGTTCATCTCCCCCGCTGAACTGCGGAGGACAGTAACCCGCCTGCAACCTTGGAAGGCGCCGGGGCACGACAGGATTACCAACGCTGCACTACGACAGCTGCCCAATAGAGTCCTTGTAGAGATAGGTCGGCTCTACAATGGCATATTGCGGACATCCCACTTCCCGGAGGACTGGAAGAAAGGCAAAGTTATCGTCTTGCCGAAACCCGGGAAGGACAGGCGTAGGCCGATCACGCTGCTACCGCATATAGCTAAACTGTGCGAAAGACTACTGTTAAGACGTCTCCTCCCGTGCATCCAACTTCGGGCGGAGCAACATGGATTCAGGAGGGATCACTCTACAGCAACACAGCTGACCAGAGTGCTGCACCTGCTTGCGGCCAAGCACAACCGCAGCCGCACATCGTTGGGCGTCTTTCTCGATATCGAGAATGCGTTCGACCGGGTGTGGTCACAGGATTACTCTTTAAATTAGACGAACAAACAGGTATCCCTCCTGCTATATTGCGGCTAGTGGCGTCCTTCCTCGTAGACAGGAAGTTCTATGTCTGTGTAGAGTACGCCGTGTCCGCAATAAAACCCATTACAGCTGGTGTGCCACAGAGCAGCTGTCTGTCTCCAGCCCTGTACACGGCGTACACTAATGACATACCTACCCTGGCAGGACACTTGCACGAATGGGAGGACGACGTCGAACTAGCGCTTTTTGCGGATGACAGCGCATACTTCACGTCATTCAGAAGAGCCCTCATTGCAGCTGCCAGGATGCAACGTCTGCTGGACCTGCTGCCACCATGGTTGGATGAGTGGAGGATGGCCGTCAATGTTAGCAAGATGACCGCTCTACTCACTCGCCGCTATAGAAATCTACCACCACCGCTAACCCTCGGAGGCCAGGAGATCGCATATGAGAAGGCCGTGACCTACCTTGGATGCCGGATTGACAGGATGTTGCGTATGACTGCGCACGTCGACCTTGCTATACGCAAAGCTCGAGGTCCGCGGGCAATGCTCCGCCCTGTCCTGACATCCAAGTTACCGACAAAATCGAAGTTAACCATCTACAAAATATATATAAGACCCCTGCTAACATACGCTGCTCCGGCCTGGTATGCACTCCTGAGCGATCATCAGAAGCGGCGACTTCAGGCCCAGCAGAGTTTGTCATTACGAACTATAGTCGGTGCGGGTCGCTACGTCCGGAACGACGTCATAGCGGCCAACCTAAAGATAGAGAGCCTGCAAGAATTCGTGGTCCGGCTGGCGCGCGGTATGTTCGACCGCGCCGACAACGGGCCACATGAACACCTCAACGGCTTCGCGCCGTTGCACTCACGGCCGCCGGACGGACGACCCTATCCAAGAGAACTCCTCCCTATATAGATTATGGAGTCGAGTAAACCCCACAATGCCACAGAAAGGCCAACTCCGACAAAATAAAACACAAAGTTATAGACAACCATCCTTAATGACAAAATTTAACCGACCGCGACAAAAGTCGCTAAAACAATACGCCTTTACCATCAAGGCACCCAGGACCGGCACATTGCAGTGTGCCGTGAGGAACATCCGGGTAAAGGGGTACACCCCGAGGCCCGAGACCTGCACGGCGTTATGCCCTGCAGAGGACAACAACGACGATACAAATCGTTCGGGACCAGCTACCAGTATATAATATAATCAAGAAAGAAAAGTATATAGGGAAGTGATAGGGAAAGTAATTACTCTCTCACGGAACGGTTTGAAGATAATTACTGTTTTATTCCCAAGGAATCTTTCACCTTTAAAATAAGTACAGTTCATTGGTGTCGATAGTGCGGCACATATTGAAGAATTAAGGCGTTGGGACCGGGACGACCTCGGAAGACCCGTAATCCCCGCCTGAAACTATTTGAAGAAAAGGAAGAGGACGACGCCCTTGTGTGTTACTCCATTGCGGGGTTCACATACGTTGTTCCCGAACCCAACGTAGGTGTCATAGGAGGGTAGGAAATTCGCTGCTGAACGAGCCGTGACAAGAACGATCCCTCGTTCCTGTCCTTTTTCAATTGCTCCTTGGCAGCTGGATCAAGTAGCAAGCGACCCCTCGTTCCCGTTCCTTTTCAACTATATTCTTTAAAGTCAATAAAAGTATGTGATCTCTCTTGTGTCTCAGATACAAAAAAATTTTTACAAATTTCACATTTGTTGAGATTAATTTTTACTATAAACCCACATACATAGGCACATGCTTGTATTTCGCCACTGTTTTTTTCCAAGCTACATTCAAATGTAGAATTTACACTTTCTTATAACTCATCGGTTAAAATTGTGGCATAAGCAGTGTGTGTGTCTGTGGGTGGAGACAATAAAGTTTTAAAATTTGTCAATATAACTTGATTTTGGTCTTCTTCACAATTTCCTGTCCCAATAAAAGATAAGTTGCTAAGGACAGCCGTTTTAAGACCCGCAACAAACTGCCCAGCGGTGGGATTTGAATTGCAGCCGCAATTGGCCCGAATGCATCCAAAAAGATTTTCTAACGGGTCCTGCTGGAGCCTTCTTGTTTCCAAACTTTTTATTGATTTATGTTTAGAACTGAGATTTCTCCAGATTCATTCTATTCCATTGATGGACCATATCCAACCTTCTTGGGATGGAGGGATTCGTTTGCATCCCAAAAACGTCATTTTTTTAAAAAATCTTCATTAAAGTGAAATGTTTGACATGTGGTGTATTATTTGTCATGTTTGTCGAAAATGGTTTCCCCCTTCTTAGGTCTGGTGTGCATGCGTTGACACAATCAAACAGCTTGTCCATATTTGCAATAACATTAGCAGTAGTGACGGCCTCTGAAGAGAGTTCCCCTGTAAACAATACATAATTTAAGATCTTCCTATTAGGATTAAAGAAATATGATTTAAAGTACCATTACAAGACAACTCAAAAAAAAATCACATATCACACAATAAACAATAATTTGTACTTGGGAGAGCCTAGTTCCTTTTTAAGTAAATAATTATTTTAATGGGTGGACGTATGTTTAAATATTATACTTTAAATTATAAATTTAATTTACCTTGTGAAATTTTAGCATACGTTCCTGCAGCAACTGAGTGGCTTAACACTTGTGCAGCTAGCTTCACCTTCATCTTCTGCTTCATATTTTATATTTAAATGTTCTTGTTTTAAGCAAGGTGAAAACACAAAATTGGGATTGGTGTTATCTGTTTCATAGAACTCCTTTATATGGCTCCATTTAGCAACACCTGTAAAAAACATTTGTGTAAATATCCAGTAAATTGTAAATATGTATAATATTATGATTGTAATAAAACAAAATATCTTACCGAATCCAATTTGATCATTTGATGTTTATTTAATGTCATATTTTAAAAACATATTTCTAAAGCATTTGAGCAAATGCGGAGTATCAAAAATGGTAACCACTTCTCGATTACTTAGCAGAATATATGGCTGTTCTACAGATGCTCCCAAGATACTTAAAGCTCTCTTATTCACACCATCCATATCACACAAAAGCATCAAAACAATGTTGCAGGACCTATAATGATAAAAGGGTACCTAAATTAATACGGTAAAAAAGTACTACTACATATATTGACATAATAACAAATAAAAGACCATAATGCTCACCTCCTTTATAAGAACTGACAGCCTATCTGCAGTCACAGATCCGCTAGAAAAATAATAAGCAATTGGTTGTTTCAGCTTTTTACGGATTCCGCCAATCATGAACACGAGGGCATGTGTTGCCATTTGTGGTGACCTGCCCTGCAATGCATGGTCTTGATAACCCTCAATTATGTCCTCCTTTTTGTTGTAAAACAAATTCTTTTTTATTGACATCTCATCAAACATAAGGATATACTCATTGTCTGAGGGAGTCTGTTGCTTTATTGTTTTTTTTTTCAAACATTAAAAATTTGGTCATTAATACCAACTTTCATGTGAAACTTGCTTAATAACGCTTTTAATAAACTAGGCGTTGGCAGGCAAGTCGTCCTTCTTAATAATTTGTAACACCTAGGTGACCTTTTATACAGTCTTAGTGCTATTATTTTGGAGTCCATGTTCCATCTTCGACCTTTTGATTTTTTTTATAGTTTTGCAATTCTCCTTGCAAAAATAATGCAAAAAGAGGGGGATATTTCACATTTTAATATTTAATTTACTGAATCATTTTTGCTCAATACTTTGAGAAATGCTTCATTCTTTAGATGCTTTACAGTTTTTTGAAGCCTGTTAATTTTTCTCAGATGATATTTCATTTTTATCAACATATCTTTATCCTTTTTGTTTTTCGTGAATGGATTTGCAGCAGCAACAGGGTTGATATTCTCAGTAACTTGAGGAATAGCACTAATTTTGTCAGGAATGGTCTTATAATGCACATTCTCACACAAGGGTTGCATACATTTTGACAGACCCGCAACCGGCTCAAATACATTTGGAACAGTTATAGTCTTCTGAATATTTTCAGACAGTGGTTGTTTAGTAGTTGGTGGACCCGCAATATGTTGAATGACATTCCTTTGTTCCAAATTAAGGTCAGCTAATGTGATCTTAAAATTAGAGATTATCAAATCATTATTTATATCATGTATCCCAGCATTGATCAACCTATCTCTAAATTTCAAACAGCCTTATAAATTTATATACATTAAATACAACTTGTTTTTATTAATGAATGTTGCTTTAACCCATTACCACCACTTCTTACTTATAGCTGCGAAACTTGGGCACTTTCTAAGCAGCACAGAAATATGCTCGAACATTGTCAAAGAGCCATGGAAAGGAGCATGCTAAGAATCAGAAAAATAGATAAGCAAAGAAACACACACATAAGAACAAGAACAGGTGTGACAGATATTCTCACCAAGATAGACCAAATGAAGTGGAGATGGATAGGTCATATGCTATGGAGCCCTCAAGATAAATGGAGCTATATTATTATTATTATATAATGTGATCTGAAAATTAGAGATTATCAAATCATTATTTATATCATGTATCCCAGCATTGATCAACCAATCTCTAAATTTCAAACAGCCTTATAAATTTATAAACATTAAATACAACTTGTTTTTATTAATGAATGTTGCTTTAACCCATTACCACCACCATCCTATATATTTTTTTAAAGTTTATATATTTTGTTTTTTTTTTATGGTTGAGAAGTAATGGTAGGTTACGTCCCATACCCTTATAAATCACCACTCAATCTGTTACCACCGTTTGTTAACTAGAAAATATTTTCACTGTAGTATGAGAAAAGCCACACAAAAGAAAAAAATGTAGATAGTAACAAAAGAAAGATTAATTAACCTTATCACATTCCTCATCAGGTACTGCAGATTTGACTAGCCTCTTTCCAAAATTATCAATTAATGATGATTTTTTAAAATGTTTAGTGCACAACATTAAATGCTTAGAATGAAGCTTGTTTTGAAATTCTGGTGACCACCAAGAGTCATGAGGAAAACAGTAATTAGCCCATAATTCACATCTGAAAAAATACAATTAGATAATAATATACTACTGAGGTGCTAAAAACATGCTTGGAAGAAGAGTGCAATACAAGAGATTGTTCCATTCAAACAATGTGATTGTATTGTATACATATATAAATATTATTCCACATGTTATTTCTATGTATACCAATACATCTATAACTACTTTATTATGTTATGATTTCTATGTGATACACCTCATGCTGTTCTGCATAATTTCTCTTTAATTTTCAGATTTATTTACACACGTTTTTAAATCGCTTAATATGTATCTTAGGTTTTATTAGCCGATGCGGCCCATAATAATTTTTATTTCTGTTACTTTATTAATTCAGTGGTTCAAATTTAAACATTTTAAAACTGTTTTAATCAGTAACCAAAAAGCTATTTAGCTTACGTACCGTAAGCTATTTGTTCTCCCAGGCTTAGGAAAACGATGCAAGGTGATGTTAAGATCATGAGCAGGAGAAGATCCACACTTGTAACATTTCCTTTCGTTTTCTTTCATGATGAAAGATAAAATTGAGTCTCTGTCTCTTTAGCACAATGCACAGCACTTGTTTTTGAGTCTCTTTCTCACTGTAAACACTAAAACGGAGGAACGGGATGTTCAACTCAACGTTAGTAGTGTAAGAAATAAGTTAAAACAAAATATAAACTTAATTTGCAACACAAATAAACAAGAATACAACCGCAAGCGCAAGGGATCTGCCATTTGTAATTTTGTTTATTTGCCGTTGCCATCACTTGCCTTTTTATTATAGTATGCAGTTTCATATTCATACATTTTGTTACTTCAATAAAGACGTAATAAATATATGTTTAACGAAATATATTATATAATAAAGTATTATAATTATTAAATAAAAAAATGATTAAAATGATGTGTCATTTAAAATAATATTTCTTTCATGGCAAGATAACATAAAGTGCGAGGGAGATAGATATTAATCCATCTCGCTTCCTTAAAGCCCCCCAAGGTCATCTCCCGGTACCAATCTTTTATTAGGAAGTTGACTGGCCTTGGTTATTTCTCTGTCTACGCGTGTTATTTTGTTTTGTTGGAAAATGCAATTGTTGATCTCTCAACAATTGGTTCGAACACAGCAGGTAAATAGTTGGTACATATCACGATGTGGCATGTCTTCCTCTAAGAAATGCTTTATAACTGAGTTTACTTGAATAATATCAATATAATAATTGTAGCTTCTTTATTAGGTACAAGTTTCGAGTACAGTGAACGTGTAGTGTGCCACTCGCAAAATGCACCAATAGTTCGTCTTGAACATGTATACATCAGCTGTGGCACTGACACCTATGAGAATAAGATCACACATATTGTTTGGGTTCGATTCTCCGCGTGAGGAACAATTTGCGTCACGTGAGGTAACTGTTTAACATTTTTCAATTTATTAAATGTGATCCTCATATCTGATTATTATACATGTTTTTACACTGATTGTATATCAACTCAAGAACTTGTTTTATTTTTTCACAACTGCACTAGCTATATCTGACAAACATACTAGATTATTTATGAGATTGACCATTTTTATCAACTACCAAGAAAGGAGACAGTTGATTTTTCATTGTTTTTGGACTGCTGGTAGTCTGTCAGGCCTTAATTATTAAATAATATAGGGCATTATCCGTCCTTGTGCAGTAACATTTAACTTGATAAATATTTTATTTATATTTGAGTTTGAAATAAACAAATCTATTTTATTTTTCACTTTGACTTCATTTTTTGTATTTTACATTATTTCAGTTGCCGTTACCATGCCGTGGATATCATAATTGCTGGCAATGAACTGACAGAACAGCATCACGTTCATCTGCAGAACGGGAACCATCTGAATCATCTAGTCCGTTCTCGTTGCAATCTGAAGTGAGTAATGTATTGCACCCAGAACAACAAAGCTTAGATCATACATCACACAGTGTACTGCTTACCAATTATTTAAAAGCACAATATTTTTTACCTGGTTGTAACAGTTCCATCAGCATTGCGAGTATGTCTCTTTTGTGATTAACTACATTTTGCGATAACAAACATAAATAGTGACAATTACTATGTATGTGTGTTATACGTGGTAGAGCAATTATATTAGAAGTATAGTTGTAGCATGAATGGGTCGGCTCGACCGGGGAAGGACCACGCTCTCACAGAATACCAGCGTGAAATAGTAGCTTAATGCTGCTGTGTTTTGTATGGTGAATGTAGAGAACCGGAGACCCTTTTTACTGGAAACGAGAAAATGATCTTAGTCCTCACGGGTGACGACGCATCTGCATTTTGATTTGTAATCGAGGATAGATGTGGATGTCTAAGGGCCGCAGCAATGTCTCCAGCAGATGGTGAATCTCAGTTAATGACAAGATATGCTAATAAATCCAGAGCCGTGACTATGTGTCGATATGGTTAGAGGTGGTGAATGGCATTTTTAAAACTGAATTTAAAATATTTCATCAAAATTACTTTAACAGGGCTTCTACACATTTGATGATAGACTGCTGTGGCTGCTGCTATAATTAATTTCAAATTCCACACAAAAATAAGGGACAGGGATGATGCGGCTCAAACAGTTGAAATAGTTCACCAAAATATGGAGACAAATAATGATTTGTCTGAGTATGCTGGGGAAAAGAATCTAAATAGAGCTAGGGCAGGCAGACTTTAGAAATATAAATGTAGACTTTAAAATGTTAGGGAATTTCCTGTTTTAACTTACAGCGACTTAATATTAATTGCTTGTGTCACATACCAATTAAAGCAAGCTCGCTACTATTATGGTGAGCATATAAGATTTAATGGTTGCTACCAGATAGAACTCTGTAATAACCAGAGGAGCAGCATTATGGAAGGAATAAACTTAAGCCCTAGCTGATCTTTACTTAGGGCTAGAATTGCAAGTCATCACCATTAGTCTTAAAGTGTATTTTATATACAGGATGTCCCAGAACTCAACGTCAAGCCGAAACAGGGTGACAGGAATGATTGTTACGATCATGAGAAAAATCAGAAAAAAAAATCTATCCCATGCGGTTCGGAAATTATGGGCATTTAAGAAAAATCTAGAATTTTGGTGAAACTGTAACCATTTTTCGGTTTTCGTGGTTAATTTTCATTATTTTTGTTCATTTACACTTTGGAACCGTAACCCTAAATAACATTTCTAGAACAACAGTCAAAAATAATGACACAACAGCCCCAAGTTTTCTAGAATTAAGACTATTTGTTAAACTATGAATTTAAAATTTTTTACATTTGTCGACTTTGAAAGGTCCTCCTTTAAAAAAATATACTAAAGTGTGTTGGCAAGTGCCATTAAAAGTTTGCGCATTTAACCAGCATTGTAAAATGGTATAATACTTGTTAGTTTCATACTAAAAAAAACTAGTTAAAAAATAAAAACATCGAGTAACCCGATTTTTGCTAACCCATTTTACTCAGTTCAAATGTTTTTTATTCACACAAGCTCTTGGTAGTTTCTTAATTTTACGGAAAAATGATGAGAGAGATGGATAATAAACATGATTGCCGTGAGCGACCAAGACAGATAGTGACGCCACGCAATGAGACGGAGATGCGTCTGACACCAGTTAGTACGATTCGCTCATTCGTCTACTGCGCACCTTTCTGTATTCGCTTGTGTTGATTTAGTACTGACAACTTGGCTTCTCTTTTTGGACTTAGATTATTGTGAATTGGACTTGTTGATTACATACCGGGCAACTTTGGCTTCTCTATTTTGGAATTGCACTTTTTGATTCTCTTTTTGGACTTAGGTTATTGTGAATTGGACTTGTTGATTACATACCGGGCAACTTTAGCTTCTCTCTTTTGGAATTGCACTTTTGTGTTGGCATCCTTGTTATCTACCATACCTACGCGCTACACTTCACAAGAATATGCCAACATGCACCTCATTTATGGGGAATGCAGATACAACGCAAGTGCCGCCGCTAGACTTTATCGTGAAAGATATCCAACTTTAGAGCGCTATCCGGATCACCGCGTGTTTGTTAATGTGCACCGTTCACTTACGGAGGGCGGCCATTTCCCGAATCAAATAAGGGCTGGAGGTAGAGCTCGCTTTCCTTACGAGGAAGAAGTGTTGCAAGAGGTCGCAGGTGATCCAAGTATTTCCGTTCGTGGAATTGAAGGAAGAACGGGAATACCCAAAAGCACATCACATCGTATTTTACAAAGAGCCGACATGCATCCGTTTCACGTACAACGCGTTCAAAGTCTTCTTCCTCGAGATTATCCTGAAAGGATTTCATTTTGTAGAACAATGCTACAGAGGCATAACGAAAATCCCCAATTCATCCAAAAAATTCTCTGGTCAGATGAATCTACATTTAAAAAAGATGGTTACATAAACTTACACAATTTTCACGAGTGGCATGTGGCGAATCCACATTTAATGCAAGAAGACAGATCCCAGTATCGCTTTAAAGTATCTGGCAAAATTTAGCAAAAAAAGCAAAATTGTTGGGCCTTTTGAGCTGCCTGAGATCTTTAATGGCACGAATTACTTACATTTTTTACGAGAAAATTTACCAACTTTGTTAAAGGACGTACCACTAGCAGATCGTCGCCACATGTGGTATCAACAAGATGGCTGCCCAGCGCATTACGCGGTGCAAGTAAGAGATTTTCTTGACCAGGAATATCCGGGAAGGTGCATTGGACGTTCAGGCACTATCTCGTGGCCAGCCCGTTCCCCAGATTTAAATCCCCTGGATTTTTTTTACTGGGGCGTTCTCAAAGAAAAAGTTTATTCAAAGCCAATTGACAGGGTAGCCGAGCTGCGTGAACGAATTTCTCAAGCTACTGAGGACATCAACTCTCGAGGATATGCCCGACTAATAACTAGATCTCTTTTAAGAAGATGTTGGGTGTGTATTGAGGCTGATGGTAAACCATTTGAACACTTATTGTAATAAAAAAATGTTATTTCCCTATCTGACTTTTATTCCAATAAACCTAAACTAAACTATTAACTATTTTGTTAATTTTACTTACTTTTGTTGACTTTTGTAAAATTAGCGTCACTATCTGTCTTGCTCGCTCATGGCAAACATCTCCACTATACATCTCTCAAATCAATAAAAACATTTGAACTAAGTAAAATGGGTTACCAAAAATCGGGTTACTCGAGGTTTTTATTTATTTACTTGTTTCTTTTAGAATAAAACCAACAATTATTGTACCATTTTACAATCAAAACTTTTAATGGCACTTACCAAGGCACTTTAGTACATTTTTTTTAAAGGAGGACCTTTCAAAGTCGACAAGTGTTGAAAATTTTAAATTCATAGTTTAGCAAACAGTCTTAAAACTAGGGGCAGTTGTGTCAATAGTTTTGACTGTTTTTCTAGAAATCTTATTTAGGGTTACGGTTCCAAAGTTTAAATGAACAAAAATAATGAAAATTAACCACAAAAACCGAAAAATGGTTACAGTTTCACCAAAATTCTAGATTTTTCTTAAACGCCCATAATTTCCGAACCGCATGGGATAGATTTTTTTTTCTGATTTTTCTCATGATCGTAACAATCATTCCTGTCACCCTGTTTCGGCTTGACGTTGAGTTCTGGGACACCCTGTATATTCTAATTAGTGGCAATGGTTCTGGTAGAAGTGCAATTAAAAAGTACTGTCGGCCGTCGAACTGTTGGATGCTGTGCCCATGTTATGACAGTAATATGGTATTTGGGTTAGGCATGGCATCAGACTAATATTTTGCTTCCTGCTCAGTTCCTGAATGATGTATTGATGTGTAAATTAGAGGCAAATAATTCCTTAGCTTTCCTAGATGCGTTAGTCATCCAAAATTCTACCAACACCATAGGTCACACTGTGTATAGAAAACAATGAATCTCAGCATCATCCTTCACAGTTAGTTACCATGAGCAAATCTTTGTTACAGAGAGCACAAGGGATCTGTGGCAGCAAACATCTGGCCGTCGAGCTTCAGTACGTCAAGCAGGTTCTGCACGTCAACAAGCTTCGGGCCCGCGCTTACGTCACAATGACCTAGTGACCTAGTTAACTTTAAACATAAACTTTAATAATATACAACTAGAAGAAGTTGATACTTTTAATCTTTTAGGTTTGAAAGTAGATTCAAACATCAATTGGAAAACGCACATTAATTATATAAAGTCTAAAATTTCAAAATTTACGTATGCTTTATTTCAAATTAAATACACCACTGACACAGCCACGGCATTGTCAGCTTACTATGCCTATGCTCATTCGTGGCTTAAGTACGGAGTTATGTTGTGGGGAAGTAGCGTCGATATGCAGCAGCTTTTTATTACCCAGAAAAAGTGCGTTAGAATACTAGCCCAGATAGATAACACTACTAGCTGTAGACCGTATTTCAAACAACTAAATATTCTTACCTTACCCTGTATGTACATTTATGATCTATGCCTGTTTGTCCACAAAAATAATAATAGTTTTAAGAAAATTAAAGATACGCATAACTTAAATACACGTAACAAAAATAAATTATACCTACCACAGTCGCGAAAAAAAATGTTAAATACAAGCCCCTACTATATGGCAATAAAAGTATATAATAAATTACCACAGGAAATAAAAAATATATCAGAATTAACCAAATTTAAGTTTTTTAAGAATTAAGACTCGGTAAATATTTAAAACAAAACCCCTTCTACTCAGTAGAAGAGTATTTAGATAAAAAAATAACACTATTATATATTTTTATATCTTTTTATAGCTTTTAATTTTATTTTATGTTATGTATGTTAATAGTATATAAGCAGTGCCCTTGTCAAATTTGCAGTGCCTGAAAAGGGCATCTAAGTTGTAAGCACATTTTTAATTTAATACCAATTATGTACACTTAGATTGCAAATAAATGATTTGAATTTGAATTTGAAGCCGGCCACAGTCAAGCATGTGCAGTACTAGCATTTGTTAGGGGTATCACAGACAAGATTGGCTACATCTTGAAGCGAGCTGACGTAAAGCATCAAAGTTCAGGGAAGTTTGCAGTTTGTGATCATATTCTGGACGGCCCCAACCAGATAGACATCAAAAAAAGATTTGATAGACCACAAATCCTCTAAAAGGACGATACATGAGACTTGAAATAAAAAAAAAATTCTTTTTTTCAATAAAGAAGGTGGCTTGGTACTACCACCTACTTAGGACCCTGTAATTAATGACATTAAAATTAAACCCAAGCATACCACTGCAAGACTTCAAGACACCGTAAGTTCATTCTGTAGATCGGACCATAAATAAAAATTAAAAATCTGAAGGTACTCCGAATTAACACTAACATTGGGACGTCAGTCACCTCAGTCTGCCATAACCATGGGTGCTGGAAAGCACCCGAAACGTCTGGAATTAAAAATAAAAAAATAAAACGCGATAAAATCGACAAAAATTGTTGTTAAAAAACTGCATTTCTGAAAATAAAAACTTCTATATTTTCAAAACCCGATATTTTTAAAGCAATTCCTTTACCATTTCATTGTTTTAATTGCATATTATCATATCTATATGCTTTTATATGTGGCCGATGTACTCATGGCCGATTTGTCTATGAAGAGTGGGCATTCCCCTTTATCGTTAAAAAGTACAAAAATAAAAAATTGCAAATTTTAACGTAAAATCTTCGGTGTGGCCAACTTTTCTATAAATTATTACCCACTATTATAGGAAATAATAATACCTGCATACCGAAGGTGTATTATCCTAAGTCCACTTTTTTCGATATTCACTTTATAATGTCATTGAAACAAAAAAATAACGATCTACTTGGTGGTATAGTATTTTTAAGTCCAACTAAAAAAACTACATGCTTTCGAACTCGTTAACATTTTTTAAGTCCAGGTTAATTCAAAGGTATACAATCTGATCTGGATTTATGCTTTTGTTCCGCTCAATTATCAATAACGAAAGCATCCTAAGTCCAAATAAGATGAGAAGTTTGTTTTTGAACATAAGTTGCACTTTATTATTTGTATTTATTTATTGTATTATGTAAATTGTGCCTTTGGCTGCGCTTGAAGAGGGTGTTCCAACCACATCTCAAGATGTACCAAATTCTATATGCCAGAATAATTTACAACAAATTCATACTTAACAATCTACCAAAAAAATAAAAGATCTGAATACAATAGAGCAGACAGGAAAAAAGCGAATAAGAAATGATCTTAAGCTTACATGAACAAAAGTGCTGCATGTAGCACGAATTTCTGCATGAAATACAGTACTAAAATATCCCAGCAGAATAAGAAAGAGATATTTACTTTTATTGGGATCCAGAAAAAGACTACAATGTTAAGAGGTAATTCATAGTATCATGTGTCCAGTCAAAACCTACAATAAGACAAAGACTGAGATCAGGAGATGAATCTAAGTTAGGATCAAATACTTTATTGTATTCTTTTGTTGTTAATGGTAAAACAACAGCAATCTGTAAGACAATGTTTCTAAATTTCCCAACAAGTGGTTAAGACTGCTTAAGACTGAAATAAGAGGGATGTATTGTTGAAAGTGACAAAAGAGGGAAACATAAACCATCTAACTAAACTTATCCTGAAATTATTAAATCTGTTATGTCCCACATTTCATATCTCCCAAAGTATAAATGTCAATACAATCGTGAGAGATCAGAGATGTTATTGAACGAATGTACGATCTTTACAAAGTACTTTATACTTGTGACGATTGCGATATGTTTTCAGCAAAACTTAAAGGGATGTAGGATGGCACTGAGAAACAACTTCTGTAAATAAAAAAAAGATTTACCTTTAATTATTGAAGCTGATAATAGGTACAAACATAAATCGCAGGATATGTCTGAATCAAAATACAGACCTAAAATGGGGTTA